TGAAAACTTACAAAATGTGGCAAAAAACATAAACCTACAGATTCAAGAAGCTGGGAAAAAAATCCCAAACAGGACAAACTCAAATAAATCCACACCAAGACACATTACAGTCAAATTACGAAAAGCTAAAGCTAAAGACAAAATCTTGAAAGTAGCGAGAGAGATGCTATCTTTCCTATAGGGGAAAATAATTCAAATGACAGATAATTTTTCATCAGTTACCATGAAGGCCAGAAGAAAGTGGCACAACATTTCTCAAGTGCTGAAAGAAAGGAACTATGAAACCAGAACCTTATACCCAGCAAAACTATCCTTCAGGAATGACATGGAAATAAAGACATTCTCAGATGAAGGAAAACTAACAGAATTTGTTGCAAGCAGACCCACATTAAATAAAAATAAAAATGGGTGAAGGTAGTTCTCTTAACAGACAATAAATGATAAAGGATGGAATCCTGGAACTTCAAAAAGAAGAAGGAACACAGTAAGCAAAAATAGCAGTATATACAGTAAACTTCCCTTTCTTCTTGAGTTTTATAAATTATATTAGACAGCTGAAGCAAAAGTATAACAGTCTGATATGGTTTGGAATGTATACAGAGAAAATATTTAAGACAATTATAAATAGGGGAAGGTACTGGGATGAAAGGGAGATAAAGCTTCAACACTTCACTTCAACTAGTAAAATGTTGACACTAGTAGACTATGATAAGTTATGTACCTATAACGAAACCTTGAGCAGCCACTAAAAAGGGTATAAAAACAGAAAAACAAAAACACTAAAGATAAATCAAAACAGAGTTCTTAAAAAAAAACTTCAAGTAACTCATATAGGAAGTTAGAAAAAAAAGAAAGATACAAAAAAGCAAGAGAAAAAAAGAAAACAAAAAATAAAATAACAGACATAATAGCCCTAGCATATCAATGATTACAATGTCACTTTTGTTTTTAAAAATTATACTCCTTTAAAACCCAAGGAAAACATTTGGTGTCTTCATCTGAGATTAATAAATTAATAAGAACACCACCTTAAAGAAAATCCACCCTTTCACTTTAATATATATTAGTGTAAAATAAGAATCAAATAAGAATGTCAAAGCAGATCAGTGGGTGATACTAAACAATTAAGCCTTTGTTTATAAGGAAAAGAGCAAAACTGGAAGAGAACATATCCAGTTCATTGTTTTTCTTGCTGAGACAGTTTCAATTTAGCTGAAGAATTAGTATTCATTCTGGGCCCAACTAATACATATGAATAGTGTCTCCTGTTCATTCTATGGTTAATGCTGTGTTTCAACTACTGTTCCCAGTGCATATTGGGGAGGGGAGGGATACATTCTAGGATTTTTGTTGATCAGCCAAACTAAATCAAAATTACTATAAAAGATTTATAAAATTAATAATCTTCAAGGATTAAATAAGCACAGATATCTCCATTAATAAAGATACAAAACTGTTCGGTTTGGAATGATTTCCCCAGATTTCCCTTCAGTCATCTTTTAAAATGTATCAAGCATTAGGGCAAGCTTATTAGGAAACATAACACTTGGACAAATTCCTAGACTGAATCAGACATCCAGATCAGTGCTACCAGAACACCCTGTGCCTGTCTCTTTCGTAGAACTTATCCCACTGAACTGAAACTGTCTTGGGTTACTTGTCTGTGCCCCTGGCTGGACAGTGAGCTCTTTGAGACAAGAGACCACAGCAACTCACCTACGGGAGGGTGAAGGTTTCAGAGGCAATATACTGCTCAGAACTCAGTTAATATTTATTAAAATCAATGAATAAGGGTTGAAATATCCTTAATCATCTCAACAAAAAGAAATGTTGTAAAGACTTGGTTACATTTAAATCCTTTCAAAAATTGATTTTAAAGTTAAAAAATAATTATTTCTTTATTAGCTGAAAATTTGAAGTGATTTTCTCTGTAACATCACTTCTCTGAAAGTGTTTGGGGAAAAACCTCTCATATCTCTCAAGGATTTCCTGACAGCTCAGCTTAAGATGGATTTGAAAATCTTAACAAGGCATGAATATGGAGGAGAAAATAAAATGTAATGATAAGATGAAGAGAACTGAACTTTTTCTGACAAAAGTTAAAGAAGGAAAGAGCTGTGGGCTAAGATTGTATGTAAAGCCATAGAAAGATTATTAATAATTTAAATCTAGAAGTTAAACACTGACCTTAAATATAAACCCAGGCATTAATATACTTGAAATAGCCAATTATCTGCATATCTAGGCAAACAAAAACTTGGCAAGCAAGAAAGAATACTGATTGTTCTGTTATATCACAATTTCTACAGAAGAAGGAGAGCTGGCAAATAATTCTCACTGACACCATTTGCCTCCTGATATGATGAACTGAAAAGAATCCTACATCACATCTGTGGTATTCCTGCCAAAAATGTATAGCCTGAATCTAATCATGAGGAAATATCAGAAAAACCCAAATTGAGGGG